AGGAAGGATGACCTTTCCATGACGCTTCAGAAAGCGTTTTCCGTCTTCTGCTTTGAGGAACGTCACCCAGCCCTTGTCGTTCTTGCTCTTCGTTGAGCATGCCCATTCAAGGATGCCGAGAGCATTCATGTGCGGCCTAAGCTCCTTCTCCAGAGTTCGATCCGTAAGGTGCCTAGGCACGTTGGTCAGGAAGACCTCCATTGCGAAAGTAATAGCAAGTTCGTGATGGGAAGCGGCAAGGTTTATTCGACTTGAAACTATGAGACGAGGCCGGGGCTAAGGATGAGACTGAAGCCCCCGAAGAGTGCGGGTAGTCAGAAGTTGGTTTTAAGAGCAATGCGAGTATATAGACGAGTTAAACCAGAGGCAGAAGCCAAAGTGTAGCGGACGCCGGGGTTGTCGATGGAAGGTGAATGGGTGTATTGAGAGCATCTCACACCTGGAACGAGTATCAGTCCTGTCAGGTCACACAGCACACATTGAAAAACGACGGCGCACCCTTCTTTCCATGTGTTTTGCCAGTCACATCCGAGAGGTACACCGCTCGGAATGATTGGACACGATCAGGGACGGTAAGGAACAGCGAGCAGACTGCAGGTTGGTTTGCATCAATGTTTGGTCGACCCAGCGGACACTGTTTGCAGTGGCTGCAGCGATTGTCGAGGGAGCGGTGAAGACTGAATGAAAGAGATGCGAGAGATGTCAAGTCGCGGGCTACAGAAGCGATTCGATTTATTGAAAATTCCATGAAATGCGGTCTCATTATGCCCGCGCTGACGTGGAAGAGAAGCTCCAGCTTGCTGAACACGTTGATTGCGAAAAGCTTCAAACGTCCCGAAGCTCGGTCTATCAGATGGCTATCTGCCCCACGCAAAGGTAACCTTCTTCCCTCTAGTCCCGAAAGAGCACGGTCCTTCTTCGCTTAATGTGCAGCGGGTCAGGAGACCACAACTCAGCCAACCAGAAGGAGAATACCGGCGATTATGAGCTAGCCTCCGGCATATACCGCTGCCCCTCCATTGAACTGGCAGGTGGCAAGAGACGGTTGGCAGATGGCAGGTTTGTTGACGGTGGTGGCTTCCTTCAATCAAACTGACTGAGGGCGTGGGGGTAGGAGCGGAAAGAAGGATGGGAAGCTACAGGTAGCGATGAACCTGCCATCTGATACTTCACCATTGTAACATTCCGAACAGGCAGGCAGATTCAAGAGTAAAGAGGGAAGGAGCTTAAGGTGTCCGTATCTCACCTCAGGGACTTGGACAAATTCTTCCGAGTTCTAGCCGATTGCCATTTTCATCCGAAACATCGACGTCGTTTCCCATTCCACCTGCCTTACCGTACGGAATACCTTGATCAAATCCACACGTCGGATGCCGTTGAGAAAATGCGATGCTCTACGCGGTGGCGAAGTAGTCCTCCATTTGAGAGATGCAGAGTCTTATTTGCTTCGAGATCCAGATGCGGCAAGTCAAGGGGAATATTCAGTCAATAGCCTTCAACGAAACGGCCCATTACCACCACCGATATCGCTCCAAGCATATGCTCCTGGAAGAATCATCAATCGCGAGGCAGCGATGCGAAAGGTGCTGGCAGAACACTTTTCCGCCACAATGCGCCAGATTATTTATTTCGACAATGGCCGAGGCCGACGCCCCTCGTCCCCACGGTTACCGCACCTTGAGTTGGCAAGACGCGGATTCTCTGAGATACATCGTCCCATTGAGATAAACCGGTCCTATCGAAGAAACTTCCTCGAAGCATCCTTGAAAGCATTGACTCGAATTGCCGTCGCACAGCTTGCCGTGTCAAGATCCCGAACGCGCTGGACCCTCTCTCCAATTTCGACCCCGCGTTCGTCATAAGCCCCGCCCCGAGCTTCCCACGGCACCCGAAGTCACCCTGACTGAATACCTCACATACCGAGTTCCCCCGACCATTTGTCTTTGCTCCTTTGCAAATCTGTCCAAACTTCTCAATACACCTCAGACAACACCAATTGAGTCAAGTGTTCGCCATGGCGCCCCCCGGAATGCTCTACGTTACTATGCAGCCGAAGCCTGAACTGGCTATCGAGCAGTTCCACGAGTGGTACAACAACGAGCACGGCCCAACCCGCCTGCGTCTCCCCCAAATCTTCACCAACGGCCTGCGCTACCGCGCCAACGACGGCAAGGAGCCGACCTACCTCGCCTCCTACGATGTGACGGACATGTCCCACCTCGAGACACCCACATACACCACGCTCCGCGCAAACAGATCTGCTCGTGAGGCCGATACCATTGGCCAGGTGGCCGTCACCAGATACTTCTTCGACTTGGTCATTGAGCAAAAGGCCCCTCTGTTCATCCCCATTGAGCAGCTTTCCGACGAAGAAGCCGAGGGCATCGAGCTCGTGGCCATTGAGACCACTCTCAAGGACGAGTCAGACGAGGCCGAGTTCAAGAAGTGGTACGCCGAAGAACACATTCCGATGCTGTCCAAGGTTCCCGGTTGGTTGAGGACCCGTCTCTTCAAGATTTCCTCCATTGGCGACGGCGTCGGCAGCAAGACTACCTTCTTCGTACTCCATGACTACGCCCGTACAAATGGCTTGGGCGGTCCCGAACACAAGGCCTCTACGGCTACTCCTTGGGCTGCAGAGATGGTTAAGAAGGTCGCAGGCATGAATCGCCGTACCTACTCTCTCTTCTACGTCTTTGGTCCCGCCTCTCGCGACCTGGAGAATTTGGCCAAGCTGCCGGCCACGGCTTCCACCTTTACAGCCCCGGATGGCAAGACCACTACTGTTCCCGGAAAGGACGAGGTCATCGACTCGTACATCACAGCCGAAGATCAACTTTCGATCCCTTACAAGCTGGAAGGCAACCCTTCGCCCAAGGCACCTACCGTAGCATTCTGCAATTCTCTGCTGACGTCTCTGCACATGTGGGATCCAGTCGTGAAGATCTTGAAGGAGCAGCGCCCCGACTTGCGCATTCTGCGGTACGACACACGAGGCCGACACGCCATCCCGGGCCCGCCTGTGCCGGCAACTCTGGACTTGCTTGCCTCTGATCTGCGCAGTGTTCTTGATGCACTTCGCATCCCCAAGCTGCACGCCCTCATCGGAGTGTCGATGGGAGGCGCAACAACAACCAACTTTGCGCTCAGGTACCCCAATAGACTGAAGAAGTTTATCGCCTGCGATTTCAACGTGACGTCGAGTGCGGCTAACACCCAGGCCTGGAAGGATCGCATCGCGGTTGCAGAGGAGAATAGCGGAGCCGGAATCGCAAAGCTGGCCGAGCAGACGGTAGTTCGGTGGTTCCATCCGGCCACGTTGGAGAAGGAGGACGTGGTAAAAGCCATGACGGAAATAGTCGCAGCAAACAACGTAGAAGGCTTCAGATATAGCTGCCAAGCGCTGTGGGACTATGATCTGAAGCCAGAGCTAGGTTCTTGCCAAGTTCCCGGCTTGCTGGTCGTGGGTGATGGCGACGCCAAAGGTGCGCTGGTCAAGGCAATGGAGGGCTTCAAGGGTGCGTTGGGCGACAGCGGCGCCGAGTTGAAGATTGTGCCAAACGCCGGTCATCTTCCCATGTGGGAGAGCCCTGCAGCGTTCTGGGAAGCCATCCAGGCATTTTTGTAAAACAGTTCTCTTAAAGAGAGTTTCTTCATCGAACGCAACAAAAAGCTTGGCCAAAGAATGATTCAATCGAGAGTTTTGCCGCAAACAACTCTGCTGACATGCTCAGCCGGGATTAAGAGTCGACGAGAGGGGCACGAAAGGGGGCCATTAACGCAATCGATCTGCCATGAGACACCGGCTGCCTATACCGAGCAGAGATGTCCCCTGCACCGCTTGCAACTCACAGCCTGCAGACATTAATTAGTGTTCACCGCTGTTGTCGTCATAGCGAGCAGAAGTTCTGAATAGCAGCGGATTTAGAGAGCGCTGTCAGGGGAGGGGGCTTGACGACCATCAAAGTCTATCTCAAACAAACACTAACCCAATCAAGGTTGACGCTAGGATCACGATTCGTGACGCGGCGACCGTTTGGCGACCAGCCCTGTCGAATGCGGCCTTGTACAGGAATCACGCGCCGCAACGCCGTCTCGGCGCGACGCTGTGAAGTGCAGCTCGTGGATCACGCCAGAATGAGGGGAAGAGGGCAAGACTCGACGGTCACGGACGAGAACAGCGGTTACGGCATGCGCCCAAGAGTCTTGAAAGTGCGAAGTTGAGTCAGAGACTGAGATGGTCTATTACAGCTTAGACTCCAAGAGGCTTGAAGATTTGGTCGGCAAATCGCTTGACGGTCGACAAGTTGACAAAGCTGCTAAATCGCTGACAGGTATGCGGGCGCCGTTTCATCGAAAGTGCCCACAGACGACGAGTTGGAAAGAACCAGACTGATGATTGACTGATAAGTAAACGAACCCGTAGAACCGTGGAACGAGACGGAATCGCCAATGACCTAGAGGCTCGGCGCATTAAAGAAGAAACGGTCTGGCGGCAGTTGTCTTGGCGAGTTCATCTCGACTACGCGGATCGACGCATGGGAATGCCCGAAACGAGATTCGCTCACTATGCGACAGGCCAGCGGCCCAGTAGGCTCAGCAGCGCGCCACGACGGGATCCATACTCCATAGTGAAAGGGGGCAGACCGGAGGGCGGGAAGTAGGACCTAACGAGGCAAAGAAAAATTCAATCGGAAAAGACAGAAAAAACGTGGGCGCCAGCGAGAAATGTGGATCGATACTCAGGGGAATATGGCACTAGGAACCACACCTTAATTATTCAGACCATGCGGAGAAGTGCGAGACCGAGGCACTTGCACAACTCACTGGCAGTTTTGCTGACAGAGAGTTACAGACTCGCAGAAATGCGACACTCGAGGAGTCGAGAATGAGTTTATGGATAAGAGAAGAGAGAGAGAGGCTAACGGGAGAGTATGCATCACTGGCGAACATCGGCACTCGGACTATGTCTTACGGTCATCTTTGACACTCACTCAAGAATGGAGCTATGGGGATATGCATATTTGCAGGTTCCTCTCGCGAAGATGGGGCGTATCCGAACAGTCGTCACCTCACCACTGGCCCCTCTAGCCATCATCTTCGGCTCCGAACCACTTAGACTGCGCACTGATAGTACGAATCACGATATCGTTGAGCGTATCCGTATGATGCAAGTCAACTTGCAAGAGCAAGACGAGTTACTGGCAATAAGACAAGGTCTGGGTGGAGAGCGTGGTGGCATTTGGGTAACGCGCATCCGATCCTCCTATGATTTACCTTCCCATATTAAGGGCGGCAGGAGGGTCTGTTTCAAGCCCGGCGCTACGTCTGAGATTCCGGTGCGCCCGTGCTGCGCCGTATTTGTACAGTTCCCGCCGGCCACCCTCTCAACGCGGTAACTCTGCCCCATGACTAAGTCGAATAGAGTCTTTTCAAGTTCTCACTCTGGCAAGTCTGGCAAGTCTGGCAAATTCTGGCAACTCGCTTGCAAGTTGCGGCTTGCTGACAAGTAGTGCCTCTCGGCTACCATGGCAAGGGGGGGATCCATGACTATTACGGGATCCCCTGCTTCTCTCACGCACCGTTTCTGGGTGAAAGAGTCGTGTTCGCCAGGGCTTCTTGCTGATGATGAGTAAACTATTGGGACTGGGCATTGGGTATGTATTCAATACTGACCCAAGCAGCACAGCATGCATACCCAGGTGACTCCATCATGGCCATCACCTTCCTTGCGCCGCACAACCCCAGCCATGATCCCAGCTTGAGCCCCTGGGCCAGATCATGGCTATCAACTTGCAAGGCTTTGAACATGGGAGAGGACGGCAGAGCGCCCAGACAACCCAACGGCTGACGTTACGAAACTGAGCGCCTACGCCTCCTAGTGGAACGGTCCATCTCATCTTTCCTAGACCGGTATCCCTTCCAAATCGGAGCACATCCGGCTGCTGTGACGCTGTTGGACCTGTTGGTCTCCTCTCCCCGGCCACGACGGGTGCCACCCCCCCAAAATTCCACCACTCTGGTTTGCATATTGGTGTTTCGGTCTTATGAAGTTTCTGCCATCTCCACCCGGCCCTGCTCCCACTTCACTACGGAGTAGGGTTGAGGGGGCGGCTCAGCTATCAGGCGCTTGTAGGACTATCTTGGCAAGAAGAAACTGGACTCGACCAGGTTGGGAATAATTGAGAGCTGGAAAAGGACGAAAGGGGGGTTTGCTTGCTTGGCATCTTACACAAGAGCCTCCCGGTGGGATAAATAACACGACGATGTCCTCGCTTTGTTTGATATCTTTTCCCTCTTGGTTCTTCATCCAACATTGCAGGTCGCACACATTCTTTGGTTCTTTCACCACTTCATTCTTTTTCCAAACCGTCAACCGTCAGTTCTTCACTGTGTGAAGCTGGGACATTCTTTTGCAAAAACTCTTACATCCAACGAATTCAAGCTCATTCATTCTCTTCCCAACCCTTCCTCCTTCTTTTTTCCCACAGGACCATCCCAACAAACTCGACCTTCTCAAAAATGTCTTCCGTCAAGTCCACCATCGCCCTCGTTGGCGCCTTCGCCGCTAGCGCTCTCGCCCACGGCACCGTCACCGGCTTCAAGTTCGACGGCGCCTACGAGGCCGGCTACAAGCTCGACTACTACTACCTCAAGCAGAACGGCGGCACTCCCCCCTCCATCTCTGCCTGGTCCGCCGAGAACCTCGACAACGGCTTCGTCGACGGCACCGGCTACGCCTCCGCCGACATCAACTGCCACAAGAACGGTGCTCCTGGCGCCGTCGCCTCCACCGTCGCTGCCGGTGGCACCGTCGACTTCGAGTGGTCCGCTTGGCCCGAGTCTCACTTTGGTCCCGTCCTCACCTACGCCGCAAAGGTCGACGGTGACGACTGGGCCTCCGTCGACAAGACCACCCTCAAGTGGGTCAAGATTGACGAGTCTGGCATTGATATCGCCACCCAGGAGTGGGCTGCCACCAAGCTCATTGCCAACAACAACACCTGGACCACCACCATCCCCTCCGACCTCGCCGCCGGCAACTACGTTCTCCGCCACGAGATCATTGCCATGCACGGTGCTGGCTCCCTGAACGGTGCCCAGAACTACCCCCAGTGCGTCAACGTCAAGATCACTGGCTCCGGCACCGCCAACCCCGAGGGAACCCTCGGCACTGCGCTGTACAAGAACACCGACGCCGGTATCCAGTTCAACCCCTACGCCACCATCTCCAGCTACACCATCCCTGGCCCTGCCCTCTACGGCTCCGGCTCTGGCTCCGGCTCTGGCTCTGGATCTGGCTCCGGCTCCAACAGCACCACCCCCGCCACTCCCTCTGCTCCCTCCACCACCGCTCCCTCTGCCACTCCCGCCGTCTCCGGCGCTGCTGACGATGCCTGCGCTAAGAAGGCTCGCCGCCACGCTCGCTCTTTCCGCCTCCGCCACTAAGCGTTGGTAGAATGCAGTGTGTGTGTGTGTGTGTGTGTGCGTGTGTGCGTGCAGGTGAAAAACCAGGAGGAAAGAAGATACGAGGCCTTGTTCCACTTGGAAGAAGGTCTCTGAATGAGCACATTGATTCGTTTCTCAAACAACCATGTAAATAGATTTATACCCGGTGTATATATCGCTGCAAGCACAACACCCTTTTTTCAGTCGACCACCACCACAAGCGTCTAGCGCACCTTTTTTGCAGCTGGGCGTCTTTCAAGCTTTGCAATGTATATCTGTTCAAAACAACCTTGTCCGTGCCTGCCTCGTTCTGTGAAGTGACTGCCATTCGTGATGAAAAGTCTTGCTCGGCTTGGCTTACCCCTTCACCAACTCCCAGGCCTTTCATGGAGTGATGTTGAGATGTCGAGACCACGACGTGGTATTCGTTGATTAGGGCGCGGGAAGACCCTAACTCAGCGCTCGTCACAGACTGATGGCATGCTGCTGATGCCCGCTATCCTGTCGCCAGGGTTAGTTCCTTGAGCTGTTGACAAGTACCCATCTCTTCCAAGCGTGTTGCTGGCTTCCTACCTCCGTAAAAGAGATTTCGACGGACGATAGATTCGGATAGCAGACCGCTGTGCCGCAGGTAGTGTGAATGTTTGTCACGAATAGATGAAGATGTGGGGGTCTAGCGGAAGAGAGATTTGAAAAGGGGGAGGGGACAAGAGTGTGTAGGCGGGCAGCTTCCTACTGGTACCTAGGGGCCTATCCCTACGAGCCCGTCAACTGATATCGAAGGTCTTGAGCCATGGCACGGGTGCCAAGACGCTGTCGAAGGGGGGCTGCTCCAGGTATATATCTACCGATTTTTTATGGGTTCCACCGAGGGTATGGTGGAGTAGATGGTGCCGATGTAAGCAGATTTGAGGTCGAATGAGTGCGCAAACGGGAGCAATCTGCCGCGCGGACGAACTATGCCGATTGGGCTCGAGTGTTGACGTGGACGGGATGAGGCATGCCGGTAGGAGTTTCTGCCGAGTAACCCGCCCATTGAAACGTTGAGCTGGATGATTCCGCAGCACACATTCGGGGGGCAGTGCCGATGTCAACGGGATCGGTGCGCCGTTGTGGGCCGAGAGGGTAGAGGGAGGGTACATTTGCATCAATGGCATGCTCGGCATTGCTTAAGCAGCGGGCCTTGAGTGCCGGTATTACAAGAGACTCGGAATTCTTTACTGGTGGAGGGCTTGGCGTATTACCTTCTTATGGGGTGGACATCAGGTTATTGTCGCTTTTTCTCCCATGATACAGACATTCCCATCCTTGGCTTGTAATCATGCTGCTGCCTCCAAAGTCGATCGCAAGCGTTGAATAGCAATCTTGAGCCCAACAGACCTTGGTACGGAGGCTTGGTCCTTGGATTCGAGCTGGCCATGGAGAAGATCAGACTGAATAGGGGACAAAAGTCTCGATGACATGACGGTCCCTGACGGGAATTCTATGGGTTGATGGACGCCGAGAAATCGATCAGCTTTTTCCAGTAGACTTTCGACAATCTGGGAGAAAATGACACCTTGAAGATGGGCATCTTCTATTGGAAACGCGCCAAACTTGATCCCTTCGATCGGCTGAATTGGGTCCCAAGCGATTGCCTCTAGTCTCTTGTGTATCTGGACGAATATCTCCTCAAAGATTGCGATGATTTGTACGTAGCAGCTAGTAATGATGAGAACTAGCGGCTGGTCGAGGACGTTGGTGCTGGGGACAGCGGCTTGGAGAGCGAGCGGCGAAGATGCTCTGCCGCGCACGAGTAGCAAGGGGTTCAATGAGCCAGACTCAGAGTATATTTCACCCTCTGCCAGTGCTGGTCGAGCGGCTGAGGTATTAGTCGTTGGCGACGCACTTCGATGAATGCTAGCCATTTTGTTGAGGCCTGTCAGAATGCCGACAAAGTCCTGGAAGGCGACGAGGACGAGCTCCGGCATGGTGCGACCGCTGACGCTGAGGGTTGAGGATGGGTGGGTGAAGGAGCAAAAGTCAAGATGCGGTCTGTTAATCTCAATACTTGACAGATAGGAGTGAAGATCGACGTTGATCTTTGAGATTTTGACGAAAGCTTCATTCTGAGTTGCCGGATCTGCGATCTGAGGTGTGCTGGTTATGCGCCCCATCTCCTCTTCTGCCATCTGGACGGAGATGGAGCTGTCCAACTGAGGATCGAGGGACATATTCCAGGGAAAGTCATCCAGATGGTAGTCCAAAGAGATAGTCGTTTCGGTGGTGGTTCCGTGCCCCAACGCCGTCGTGCTCGTTGAGGGGTCTAGTGGCGAGTTACCGGGAAGGCTATCATGGGTCACAGAGTAGGCCGGTCGTTGTTCACCGTCTGTGTTGGTGGAAGGGACAGAAATCTCTGGTAGACGCTTCGGCATCGCGTGGTCCAAGGTCATGCGTCTTGACGGTCTTCCAATGCGGCGCTGGTGACCGGCGACGCAATCCATGCCCCGCTCTACGCACCGCGTGCAGCGTGTCCCGTTCTCGTCGTCTTGGCGGGAGCATCGGAGCTTTTGGCGGCGGCATCGCTCGCAGGCAGACCGCTTCTGGTTCGGGTGGGTCGCGAAGGCCATACTGGTCGATGCAGCGATGTATGCTTTGACTGAGTTTTACGGCATAGCTGCGGATGAAATGGATAGGAAGGTATCGGAAGTTTTGCAAGCTTGGCTCAGTCGGAGGCTTTTCGTCGTCTGATGGTAAGCTTCCGGAAGCTTTCAGGGTCTTGGGGTATTAATACAAGGTACCTTACTCCGTACGTGGAAGGCACCTCTGCTGGGCAACCCCCCCCCCCCCCCCACATTTCCCCTTAGGTACGTCGGGTGGGTTCTGGGGAGGGTACGTTCCTCACAGGTCCGAGTCGGCTCCGAATTTTGATGCCGTCAGCTAGGTACCTTACACCAGCCATCGTCGCCTCCTTCAACCTCCTTATGTCTCCTTGAGTAACTGAATGTACTCAATGGTTTAATCAATACACTCATGTTGGTACCGAGCGCCTCTTTGTTCATTCCTACTGAAGAAACCGTATTCTTGTCCCAATTTACTTCACTGTGTTCCCTTAACTTGACGGAAATTGCGAAACTCACGAACGACCAAAGACCTGTTGATTCCTCGTGAATGTTGGCAAATCTCGCACGAGTATGTACCTCAAATTCGGAAATGGAATGAACTCACTCGCAATACTGTCTCAAGAAACCTGATAGAGTGTACAAACAACCACCTGAAAATGAAGAGGAGTCGTAAAACTCCTAAATCGTTACTGACATGAGCATCCTAATCGCTCCTTCCTTCAGCCTTCTGTTGTCCGCAAAGGTAAGGCAGTAGGTCGAGTGGGGTTGCCAACCTTCAACATGAAAATCAATTGCCCTAAAGTCCTTTGCACCTTCTTTTCCGATTCACTGCTAACTGGATCGCTACCTTCATCTCACCTCATTGTTAGCCTACACGTGACTGGTGAGGGAGCTCCTCCTACTAAGGTACGTTCTTTCAGGTACCTAGGTACGCACCAACATCACCCTTACCTCGTCCTCTTCTCTCGCCGTCACTTTCTTCAATACTTTCCTTTCCGACTTTCACCCCAAGTCAAGTCAAGAGCATCTCGGAACCTTCGCCCGAGTGCGTGATTCACTGCCCGCCGCCACAAAATGGAATGGCCCATCCCCCTACCGCCTGCCAAGAGGGCGTGTCGCCTATCTAACCGCCTCTCTCCAGCAGACAACATTCTTCCACTAATATCTCCATCAGACACAACAGCATCCTCACTCCCCCATCTCATGGAACCATCCACCATCGCTAGTTCCCCATCAGTCTCTCAATCCGCTCGCTTTGGATACCGGCAATCAAGAGAGCAGAAGCAGAATAATTTCACAATGTCATCACCAGTCAAGTTTGATATTCCGGCGTCCGCTCGCTCCTTCACTTGCTTCTCGCGTTTGCCGCCCGAAATCCGAGAGCAGATTTGGGAGGATGCCATTTTCGAACCAGGCATGCACTTTCTACGCCTGAGGACTGCAGCTCGCATCACCCATTACCCCTCTCCAATGCCGCCAGGGTCACTCGGTGACCAAGATACCAAGGACGAAGACGATGTTCTTCTCGACTTTGCTCAAGAGAGTGTACCTACGAGGGTCTGGCCCGCCATACTGGAGCCCCGATACCCGACGCCCCAAGCCAACATCTCCAACTACGTCTCTACCAATCAAGTCCTCAAGAAGCTTTCCGCTACTTGCTTCGAGTCAGCCAAGGTCGTTCGACGCCTGACGAGTGCACCTGGTGGCTTAAAGCTGAAGGGCGACCGCGTCGTCTCGCTTGGCGGCTCTTTTGACATTGTGTGCCTTGAGTACCTGTCCGCAGATGACTTTCGAAGTTGGTGTCGCATCTCGCAGTCCATCAAATGCAACGAACTTGCCAATATCCGCCACGTCGCCATCCCCTACTGTCACGCGTGGGAAACTAGTGTTGGCGGCTTTCGGTGCGGTCATTGCGGCACCCGCTCCTCCGGCCTCGCCACCAAAGTCTACCCTGTCCACCTCTACGAATTTCTCGCTCAGTATCTGCCCAACCTAGAAACATTCTACTTCATTGACTATCTAATAGTTCAGAAGGACAAAAGCATTGACTCCCTAGAAGTCATTCCGGCCCAGATCACTACCTCGAACCAAGCCGCTGCCCCGTCGTTCGATATCAGACCCCAGAACTCTATCCTTGAGCCGTCTAAGAAGCGTAGGACTGTTCCATTGATTGAGAGTGAGAGTCATGCTGACTAAAGATCTGTACAGGTACAAAGGAAGATACTGACGACGTCCGTTTATCGCCGAACCGGGTTACTGAGATGATCAAGACATTGAAAGTAACCAACAGCACAAAGAGAGAGATCGAACCCCGGAGCGCGAATCCATCGGCGAAGGCTGTAACACATGGTTTCAAATGTCAGGGCAGAGTTTTTCACGAACCCGACGAGGATCACTGGGATGTCAAGTCTAGAGTAGTCGACACCATATCCTGGCTGCAGAAGAGGTTCATCCTCTACGCCACCCAAAGCAAGAACAGCAGGCATGCACACCCCGAAAAGGTCCAGTTCAAGGTCCTGGCATGCAAATGGAATGAGAGAGAACCCGATACACAGCCGAGACTGAAGAGAGCTGCACCTGTTGTCCAAAAAATCTCAACAAAGAAGCCCCAAGCACAGTGCTACAAGCAAGATGTGCCACCGGCTCAAGAACAAAAGGCGCCTTTGGCGTCACCATCATCGCCGCCCCTTCTTGTCTCTACCAAGGGATTCAATTACGTCTTTGGCAGAGAAGATGGATGTAACTTTAGCTTCAGTCAAGCATCTGGATTGTGATGGACTGGATATAGCTGACCGCCGGGTTGGCGAGATGTGAATTGGAGAAATTCACGTATGGAATTCTGGAGGAAGCATGGAATCTTTACCGGTTCGACAGCCCCGGCGACGGCAGGGAACGAATCGCACGATGCTGGCGGTAAGAAAGTAGGGAGATCAATTGTGTCTAAGTTGTTGATGTTGGCGGCGACGAAGCGCTTGACACGGAGGGTGTAGGCAATCCTAGAAAACCCTCTTAATATTAATGATAGCACACGACGGAAACCTTTGGCGTGAATAATTCATTAATGCGGAAACAGATAATATCCCAAGATGGACCACACTAGAAACCGCCACACTATCACGGGCCGATATGAGGCCCTATATGGTAGCCTCATCGGTGCTGCGTTCGCTTCATCTCTGGGCAGTTCGTTGGGGCAAACAAATAGCGTGATGGCCAAACCAGATACGACGGTGATGTCATCGCTGTTCTTCTCCCTGGACTTGAGCTGGCCCTGAAAATAGGAGATCATCTGTCCGCCTTTCTGTTGCCTCGCCGGAGCGCATCCGGTTCAAGCCATCTCGAAGAAGATATCGTACGAGGGGCGTCAAGTCAGATGCTCATCGGGAGGGGAGCCAACTCAGATTGGGACATGTGTTGTTGACGATCTCTGAGCTCCCTTGACTGCCCTTGGTGGGGGTTACGGCGTGGGCGCCGATCTCTGCGATTTCGGGACTGGCCGGGGGTCTCTGGACCCCTGACGCGCGACGAGTCAGGGTCCAACCGTCCGTGAGGGGGACGGTGGGTAGGTGAAAATGGCAGAAAAGTCGCCTGGGGAGGGCATTTTTCGACTTTCCGGTTTCTTGACGAGGGTAATGTGAAAGCCGGTGTCTTCCGGATGTTCCTTCAAACACCCCTCTTCATGGCCAAAGCCTCGATATCGCGACTATTCAGTCTTTGCGCTACGTCAGCGATCGTTCATGAGCCACAAGGACCCAGGCAATGGGAGCAGAGCAAGTCGAAGAAGTACGCAGCTCGAAGCGAGAGCAGCACAGTCCAAGAAGAATCATCGAGCCGCCCACGTCATTGATACCTAGGTCATCTAGATATTTGGAGAAGGGAATTCAAACTGCGGAGAGTATTTGCTATTGCCTGGTGTACGCTGACGCCGGGGTGGTGGCTGTGGAATGCGTAAACGCTAGACCACTTTCTTGAGTAACAGAACCCCTCCCCTGGTTCCCATCGGATGCCTCTCCGGCGCCCCGTAGCTCGAGTAATCGTGTTGATTGACGTCACATATGGCTGCGGCTGCGCGCATCTTGGCTGCAGAATCTGGACTCGACTCTTTGTTTCCTCGTTCTCTCAACGAATGAAGATTGGCTACAGGGACAGAGTGATATGTCGGGGTACCGCGATACGACGGCTCATGGCATTGTCAAATTATCCATCCCCCAGCGAAGCGGGTTTTTGCGATGGTGTGCAAAAGGTCTAGGCCCTCTGGAGCTCGAGACCCTGAGTGCATCTGCGGCGGGCGCATCGCCATCACATCTTCCAGGGTTTTGCGATGCGAAGCCAGTGACCCTCGCGAGCTTGCGTCCGCGCGTAAACCTACCCTATGATCTGCCTAACATGACCGGAGCTACTATTGCTTTCTCGTGTGGCGGATATCGTCCGCGAACCATTGACTTTGGAGATAACCTTGACCGTTGTCAGAAGCTTAGGGGTGCCGGGGTAGAAAGCTGGGAACGCGCCATCACGTCACTGTCCAGATGGCGTTTTCCCGCCATTCTGGCACCCACGTTGCGGAATCTCACATAGATGCTGCTTGATGTTGTGGTTCGCTGGAGGCGTTTTTATGTCTAGCGTAAGGCTGCCTCCGCGGAACGGTTTGCTGGATGGTCTCTTGAATCTTTCCTGCTGGATTTGTTTCCTCCCGCGCCAGTGATTCGTTTTGATGCTTTTAAATCCTCGGTATGTCCCTGTTGCCTGGATGGATCGATCCGAACGATTCCCTCAATCTGTGCCCATCGTGCCTTTACTGCACCCATCATCACGAGCTCCTTGCATCAGCCTTTGACCTTGTCTGATTACAAGTTCCAGTGACACTGATGAGCTTGATGCTTTTACCTTACGACCAGTTGCTGAAGACCCAACAAAGTACCGCACCCGAACAACATCAGCCAAGGTTCGGCCCCACCCGCCCATCCAGGTTCATCCGAGTCACACGGCTGTCCGTCTCCGGCCTGCCTAGACCCTTAATCATCGCCTGGATTTCCCTTTCCACTGCAATCATGTCTTCCACTGGCGCTGTTTACAATGGCGGTCACAGGTTCGTGCTAATCAAGGCTATTCTATGGAACAGAGTGCTGTCAATTTGGCTTGTACCGCCATCCTAGAGCCCCCCCACCGCCTGCTAACTTTCCGGTATTCCTGCCATACAGAACTTCCGCTGCATCACCGACAGCCCCGCCTACGGTCCCGATCCCAGCTCCGACACCGACACCGGCCCCACAGGTTGCACGACCCGCAATTCCCGTATATTCGGACTCGGCATATTCCATCAAGCGATACGTTGATACTCCGACTGCTTCGGACCGCCAAATCCGGGCCCCGCTTTTCAGCAGCCCTTTACCGTCGCCGTCGCCTGAAGAAGCAGAGCTGGCTGGAAAGGCTCGCATGGAGGCTTTGTTGAAGGAAATCTACCCTCATCGTCCTAAGTGGTCGGATTGACGGATAGTGAGGTTGATATGTCTAACTAGCCACATTGCCCTATCGTGCCCAACTTCAAACAATATACATCCTATTATTTTTCAATCTGCAACCATCGAGACTACCTTACCTTATGTGACGAGCATGCACCCATCATCTCATACAGTCCAACTCAAGTTTTTCGCCTGATGATGTATTGTTTACCAAGCCTTTCGCATCTCTTATGGGGTCAGGCGGTATAAAAAATTTCGTTGACGGGGCCAATAGCAACGTGCGACTGTCGCTTGACCGGACCTCACCACAGGACTAGGTAATTCTAAGCCGCCAAGGATGCGCGAAGCAAATAATCACTCGCCTTGACTAATCTCCACTTACCCGACGGACTTGGACATGTGATGGGCTGCCGTATTCTGCTGGTTCTTTGTCCCCGCACAGACGGCCTTGACATGTTTCGCCGCGGTGTAATCTCAGTGCAGACCGAGCCACAGTCCTCGTCCTCGTCGCCTCGCTTTCTGGAGGATCGTCCAAGACTGCACCGTGAGACGAAGGGCACGGGCCGCTAGTTCCTAGCAACTCTTTTCTCTGCAGGACTTAGGACTGAGGTGAGGACTCCCTGCAGCAAGATGAACTGGGTTGGCTAGCTCGGAATTTTCTTGGGGATCTTTTCCTTCGTCTCTACTCTTGTGTGTGATTCATGAAAATGCATTTGATGCATAGAGTGGCACCGAGCGTGGAAGTTGTCCAGTCCGAAGGCGAGAACGTCGAATGAGCAGCCAGTCATCAAGGGCTGCCTGCGCCGAGAATTCGGACATTTCAGACATTTCTCGGCTTGAAATCATCCATGTCGCCCCCCTTCTCAATCCTCAAACCCGGGGTACAGCGTGCAGGAAACTGCTTGGATCAAGCTCGACTTTCACTCACGACTCCTGTTTGGGGCTTTTCCACGTCCCAAGATATGCAGGCCACGCGCCACGATGCAGGTCGAGACTCCGCCACGAAAAGCAACGGCTCTGGTGATTCATATGCGACATTGATTGTAAAGAACCGATCACCTGGGTATGGTCTCTCACAAACTTGAAAACTTGAGATGGCTGAGAGCTTGGGGCAGTGGGATGGCCCGTTGATCCGTGAGATGTGGGACCTTGGACGAACTTGCCATCTCGATGGGTCATTTCTGGAGCCTTTGCCTGGCCTGAGCTCTGGTTGGGGTTCACGGCATAAATCCCTTTGCCAAGCAAGCGCAACTCTGCTCATGTGGGCGACAAACGACAACAGGCCGAGTGATTGATGCCCAGATCTTTCCATACGCTGAGCCCCTACTTTCTACTTTCCAGATGGGTTTCCTGCTCAGCAACTTTCTGGACGAGGCAATCTAATCCCACAGATTGAGGAGCAATGCGCCTTTTTCGTAGAGCGCTTCATTGGGGCTAGAATCCGAATGGAACGGATTTGACTGAGGGCGTTTGTTAGTGTCGTATTTTAACGGGAACTAGAAGTTAAGAATTGCCTAGGCGACGATCCATGGAAACCTTGTGTTGCCCTGGTACTAGATTCAGAAATCAGCCGGCGCCTACACAGTGTGTTGTCTGGCGGCAACAAGCGGGGCTGGACATTTAGGTCTAGAACCAGAGAATGCCTTCACCATAGAAACATTTCCAAGATCAAAGTTTCTCCATCTGCTGAATCCGAAGCTCTTTAATTCAGCCCAGGCACTCGGAGATGAGGTTCCCTTCATCTCCAGCTTTCGCGACTCGACTCATAGTCGAGGGCAGGGAAAATTCACTCCGGAGCAGATGCACGGACAGGCTTTGTTTCTCTAGCCTCCCCGCGGATCTCCCTACTTACCTAGCTCCGTTAGTCGGCTCTATTCATATGTGTGTGGGCCTACCTACCCTCTTTGCCCAGCTTCTCAACGGCTGCCCCAGAGCCAAACAATAACCCAACTTGAATCGGTTAGCCGGCACTTCGGTATGACACCGCCCCCAGGCACCAAGTAGAACCGAGGAGACTCCCCGTTTTCAACGGATAACTTGGGGAAGTGCAGGGCCGACCTGGACAAGCTAGGTTAGGTTTGTTTGTTAGCCCAGGGCACGGCCCGGTGCTACGGCCGGACGTGAAACGCGACAGCTCGACGATGGGAGGATCGTCGGGACAATGAAGGAGGACTGAGAGCGCCGTGCGGGTGTCCAGGCTGGCCTGGAATTTTGCTGGCAGTACCATTCTTGAGCAGGAAACAGCAGACATAGTTGCGGCAACTGGTATCTCTGTATTTGACAGCGTAATACCGAGGGAGAATGTATCTCATCCCTCGCATCTGGGATACCTTAATCTGTCAGCTGGACTGCAAATGATGTTTGATGTCTATCACTTGCAGCGGTGTATGAACTGCCTCCTCGGAACTTTGTGATAAGAACATGCTCGCTCCATGGTAAGCGCAGAAGGTGGCACTGGTCGTAGCCAAGATCACTCCGAGCTTTGAGCATGCTTCTACCCGCTGCCAAGAGAAATCCTTCCCAACCCCTCGTCCTTTCGACCCTGCTTTTGGAAAGGATTCCAACATGGGAGCTTGAGCCTGGAGAATACCATGGGGACCGAACCATCGGTTCTCGCCGCATCTTCTGGCGAGCACCTTTACGGATAGACTGCCAGGGGGACCGATCGGACGCCGCAATCACCAAGTGCTCTTTGCAAAGACCCGTGCCTTGCATCAATCTCTCCCTGCATCATATCCTCCTGCATCCGCTACGCTGAGAGAAGGGATCCGTCATATTAGCCAGGTCTTTTCGTACAGCCTACACAGATAGAGTACTGGGGCGCACTAACAAACTAAGGTTTGACCGGAGGCACTAGTCCACGCCGTTCACGTGGGGAGGAACGGCGGCAAAGACTCCCACGGGTGACAGGCAAAAAAGGCGTTTCACGATGTTATGCTTCGACAGACGTTTGTCTAAAGACGCATGGCTCTTGGACCACGTCATCCTGCTCTGAGCCGTGTTATGCCCAGTGCCAACGAGTACCTCTGGGCTCTAGCTGCTTGACAATGTACCCAACTTGCTCAGTCAGTCCAGAATACCGATAGCGTCAGTCAGTCTCGGTCTGGTCTGAGGCTTGGACTGCTCGGGGCTCTGAGATGCAGCTTGGCATTGCCCACCACAGCCTACCTCGTGGTTGATGGTTGCCCTTCCCCATCAATGCCTCTCTCTTGTCCCTTGTCATGGCACAGCAGAGGTGACTGTTTCGACGCCCAGGGGCCCTCATCTTGGATGCTTGCCGAAGCGGATCTCCGGGCGAAACTAGAGGGGTTCACGTTCACGCAGCACATGAACAGTTGACACCCAGAACATAAATATCCTATCACGAACCCGTCTGGTAGCCTTTCTTCTTCTTCTCATCAGATCACTCTCACACAGCTTCACTTCGCCTTTCGACAGCTAGTCTCTCGCAACCCTTTTTCGACTCTTACATCTTTCACAGCCTCGGCTTCATTCGCTCTTCAGCATATTTTCAACCTTTTTTCACTAACCAACCCCCCAAACAACCAAAATGCACGCCAAGGCCGTCGCCCTTTCCCTCGCCGCCGCGGCGGTTGTCCACGCTGATCTTCGCCTCAACACCAACGACATCCCCCAGGACTGCACTGCCATCTGCCGCCCCGTCCGTGACCTTGGCAACATCTGTACTGTCAACTTCGTCCCTGGCCAGGGCAACAACAACAGCGATCAGCTCCAGGATGAGCTTGACTCCCAGTGTGTCTGCACCAACAACTCCTTCGACCTGAAGAACTTGGCTGGCCAGTGCAATGCCTGCATGATCGAGAAGGTTCCTTCCGACCAGCAGCGCAGCCTTGAGGGTAAGTTCTAGACATCCAGATCACAGCCTCTTTCGAATCGCAGTGAGCTGACCTGATGCTTCACACACAGGTATCCAGAGCATCATGAACGTCTGCCAGCTGCCTAGCGCCAGCGGCTACGCTTCCTCATCCACCTCCCTTGCCAACACCGTCATCGTCCTCGCCACCCGCCTGACTGCCAGCAGTCAGCTTACTACCACCTTCGGCGGTGCCCAGACTACTGAGTCCTCCTCCAGCCGTACTCGCTCCAGCGAGCGCTCCACCATCACCACCACTTTCCTCACCTCCGGCAACGGTGGTCTTCCCTCCATTGCCACCTCCACCATCGTTGGCGGTGGCCGCCAGACCGGCAATGCTGCCCCTGGCCTCCACACTCCCGGCAGCAACGGCATGCTCGGCGCCGTCGGTGCCATCGTCGCTGGTGCCTTTGCTCTTGGTGCTTTCATGCTCTAAAAGGCTTGGTTCCACCGACCGGGCAGGATTGTTGCAGTCTATGGTACGGATATGTCACAACAGGAGTTTGGAAAGAGGAGGATAATATGCATGGTAGTTTGTTATGTCTGATGAAGTAACGGTTGCGCGTAAGATGGGGGAATATCATGGTTTGCGTCACTCCTTTGGTCCTTTTTTTGGGTTTGGCTGTATCGCGAATGAGATATCTATGTACTGCTTACAGGTTTATGCAATTGACGATAGATGCCGCACTCAGAACACTGCGTCCCAACGCTTCCATAATTCCCCGTGACTGATTCTCTCTTGCCTCAAACTGATCACATTCATCCTCGACTGTTTGCTCTGGGTCCTGACGTGGCAGCTACTTCGGAGGCTGTCTCCTCATCTCTTTTGCTATTCGCCTGGTTGTGAGCATGCATCACGAGGACTGTGCTCCGAAATTTCCGCATCGGGATATTCAATTCAAAGAGCATATCCACCTCCTCAAGTGTCCGGCCCTTACACTCCGGCACGCAGAGGTAGACAAACACAAGAGAGAGAAAGCTTATTGTGCCGAAGATCAGACCAACCTTGGACCCCAGATTCGCGTACGGGGCGTTGAGCAGATACGGTAGCGTAAAAGCGACGGTGAATTGCATTGCAATGTTAACCACGCTGGCCGTCCGATACGTAACGTCACGGAGACGCATGCTCGGAATCTCGGCAGAGAGAACATGCGATGTTGGTGCCCATCCGAGAGTGAATCCCGTAGTCATCACAATCATCATGGCGACAATGGCTGACTTGACGGAGACGCTCGGATTGGACGTGAGTCCGAGAGCGCCCATGGCGAAAAGACCGGCCGTCTGAATCGAGCCGCCGAAGAAGATGACGTTTCTAATGCCGATGATAAGTCAGCCAATCGGTGCAAGTAGGCCTGATCCAAGGCACATAATGCACACTAGGGGCTTTACCTCCGTCCCAAATTGTCCAATAGGATCATTGAGCAGACACACATGACAATGTTAATGCTGGAGGTGATCATGGTGACGGTGAAAGGATTGATGAACCCCAGCTGCTTCACAAAAATGGCGCCGTACACAGAGGCAAAGATAGAGCCAGTAGCCTGCAGGAAAAAGTTGACACCAATGACTGACATGGTTCGTTTTGTCACTTGCTTGCCCCTGAACATGTCCATGAAAGAACCTTTTTCAACTTCGTGATCTATACCTGCGCGTATCTGAGACATCTCGGTCGCTATTTGCTCTTCAGTGAAGCTGCCTTCACGGAGACGAGTGAGAGCTATAAGTGCTTCGTCGTTACGGCCTTGCATTGCAAGCCAACGGGGAGACTTCAGGAGTATAGAGAATCAGTATCCTGACCCGATCGTAAAAAGATGACATAGATACTACTGAGTACTCACCTCTGGGACAAACCAGATCCCCGATATGACTATCACGGGTACGATGTAGAAGAGCCCGTACGGAATCAAGTATGCCGCAGCCGAGTTCAAGCTCCCGGTACCTCGGGCCACGGCGTTGACGACCAAGCCACCCGTCTAAAAGAATTTTCAGCATAAATCTTGGTAGTTTAGGAAGGGTCATTTCAGCTTACTGCAAGACTCAGTTGGTACGTGCCGACAACGAAACCACGAGCTCGTTGCGGAGTTATTTCCGACTGATAGATGGGTACAACGGCAAGCTCCATGCCAATATAGATATAGGCCAATATCCTAGCAGCGAGGATCTGATCTCGGCTTCTGGACGTCATGATAATTGTCGTAGCCACGCAAGACCAGATACTCATTGAGAACATGCACATGCGCCGACCGTAGCGTTTACTGACTATGCTCCCGATCAGAATACCTAGACCAGAACGAGCCTGTCAATATTTTATGCTAAGCCCATCTATCGCGTAACGTACCTATGCCAAACCCAATATACGGCAGGCCGGCAAAAAGAGACAGCCACCAGCTTTCGAGGTAGTAGGCTTTCGTCTTGGCATTATACCAGCCGAATTGCCGTTCGAAAGCGTCCATCGCTTGGGTCGAATTAAAGCCTTGTTGGTCAAACCCAAAGTTGAATTGAGAGACGGCAATGAGCAGGATCGTTGAAGTCAAAGATCTGTTGAAAGATTGCCGCAACGCAAGATGGCTGAACATGATGGCTGATTAGTTGCCGAAATATTGGCCGTCAATCTAGGTGAGCATGTCAAGGCACGCCACTTCTCTATGGCTATCTGCTATTGTGAGAGGCAAACACGACGGCTTTATATTATTCATGTAAGTATCATTACATGCTCTTAATTGCGCCATCACGACTAATGTTGACGATTTGCCGGGCATCGATGTTTCCAACGTTTGACTCCCGGAGAAGTTGAGCCATCTCCTTGGGGTAAACTTCTACTCAAGCGTGACGACCCCTGTCAATCAAGTGGGCCAAAGTAATGACTAGAGCGGGGGGATACGACGCTTATTCCGGATTCTGGATAGCTTCGTTGTTGTTGGATGGTTCCCCGGAAACATCTCCCCGTCTATCCCCGTTAACAACTATTTTCACCAACACAGACAAATCGCTGCTGTTATTATTTGCATGTTGACGAAGCATCCAATATTAGTAACGCGTCGTAGTCATGTGAAATTAGTGTTCACTTTAAAGACACTACTTCACCTTTACGTGCTGTCGTGCATCCACGACCACCTTAGGAGTCCATGCCTGTCTACGGCTTACAAGAAGTTGCGTCAAATTTCGACCCAAGAAATTAGCAGTCGCTTCTCATGGAAGGCTGCATAAGATATCGACGAGTTTTTGCTATCGCTATATCATTGCCGGATCTCGGCGGATCTCAACAGCGGGGTATTCATTGACAAGCTGTTATCCCCATCAACGGGTAAGAACGGGGAGATAGCGACCTCTATCACACACCTTTGAGTGTCGTCAAGCTTGCCCCAATCCATATCAGTTTTAGCCCCTCTCAGAAGAGAAATAATCGTCTCTGATGAGTGAATAAAGTGAATTGCGTCAATTCTGAGAGTAATCTCGCCATTAATAGGAGTGGTCACTAAGAAATGGGCCCGTCATTCGTAGAGGAACCCAGTCGATTTTCCGGATCACCTCGGTCACTTGAACTAAAAGGCCGCAGTCGAAATTGAGCACCATATCGCCCATCGAGCTCTTTTCATCGGCAATCACTCATCATGACAACTCAGCGACCAAACTTCCTAATCATCGTCGCCGACGACCTCGGCTTCTCTGATGTCAGTCCATATGGAGGTGAAATCCATACCCCAACTCTCGACAAGCTCGCTAAAGATGGAATTCGCATGACCAACTTCCATACTGCGTCCGCATGCTCCCCAACAAGATCCATGCTATTCTCTGGAACTGATCATCATATTGCTGGGCTTGGTCAGTGTTCTTCCGTTCATCACAGGGCGAAGGCTGACGAACTCTCAAGGCCAAATGGCTGAACACATGAGGCAGTTTGGAGATTACTTCAAAGACAAGCCCGGCTACGAAGGTTATTTAAACTGGAGAGTAGCTTCTTTATCCGAGATCCTGCAAAATGCTGGTTATCACACCATCATGTCGGGGAAATGGTAAGCTCATCGCATGCTAGGTACTTTCGACGACGGTATAGGCGGCTGACCTCGAGGATCCCACAGGCACCTTGGACTGACCAAGGAGCTTGCGCCTTGCAATCGAGGTTTCACGAAGAACTTTACATTCCTACCGGGCTCCGGAAATCATCATGCTCATGAGCCCCAGCTGGACGATGATGAGTTCAAGATCCCTTGTCTCGACACGGAAGGTCATTGGATGGATGGCGATAAGTTTATCAATCATAGAACGGACCTTCCTGATGACTTTTACTCCACGCGCTACTTCACCGATCGTATGATCAACTTTCTTAAGGAGAGAGACGAGAAGGAAAAGGAGCAACCGTTCTTCGCTTACCTACCCTTCACTGCGCCTCACTGGCCCCTCCAGGCCCCACGAGAGGTGGTCGAAAAATACGGTATGAATGGATCATGAGCAGGATCGGGATATAGGAGGTCGCTAACGGTTAATCCAGCAGGGAAGTACGACGATGGCCCTGATGCATTGACGCGGCGAAGACTGCAACGCTTGGTCGATCTCGGTCTTGTGGCCAATGACATTGACCATGCGCCGCCAGTTGGTGTTCTAGGTAAAGACTGGAACGATATGACGGGATTGGAGCGTAAAGAGTCTGCACGGAAGATGGAAGTCTTTGCTGCCATGGTGGATCTCATTGACGAGAACATTGGGCGAGTCATTGATCACCTTGAGGCTACGGGAGAGCTCGACAACACCTTTGTTTTGTTCATGTCGGATAATGGCGCCGAGGGTGCTGCCCTCGAGGCCATACCTGTAGGTTTAGCCGCGTCTTCAACACCGCGTCGGTCCGATATTAACTTTTGCCCTACCGTAGATGATGGGAGGAGAAACAACGTTTGCTGGGATAGTGCAAAAGTATTATGACAACAGCTTGGACAACATTGGCGACAAGACGTCTTTCGCCTGGTATGGTTAGTAACCGCATCTACTTAATCTTCTGGTGATGCAATTCGGCACTGACTTGGATCAGGTCCGCGATGGGCGTGTGCGGCGACGGCGCCATCCCGGGGCTCAAAGTGTTGGATTACGGAGGGCGGCATTCGGTGCCCATGCTTAATCCGCTTTCCGCCATTTCAAGCCAAGCCCGACGCTATCACGCATCGTTTCACCACCGTTATGGATATCCTCCCCACGATCTTGGAGATGGCTCAGGTGCAGCATCCTGGTACGACGTTTCGAGGTCGTCAAGTCGTTGTACCCCGCGGCAAATCTTGGGTGGACCACCTCACTTCTCCCGATTACGCGGCGCCGGACTCGACGGTTCACGGAGAAGACGTCCACGTCCACGGTTGGGAGCTCTTCGGGCTCAGGGCAATTCGCGAAGGCAAGTGGAAGGCAGTTTGGCTGAACAAACCCAGGGGAAAGGATGACTGGGAGCTATATGACGTGGAGAAGGACCCTGCGGAGATGAATGATGTATCAGACAAGGAGCCGCAGGTGATGCGGAGGCTTGCCGATCACTGGGAACGGTACTATGCAGAGACCGGGATGACCCAGACACCAGAGTTTGCTATCACCAAGGCTTAGCAGGGTTTGAAGATCGGATGATGTCTTTACAGAGTACATCATCTGCACCGCGCCAGGCATCATCAAGTTCGCTTCGATTCAGGGAAACCAAAATTCAGATCAAGATCTCAACTTTCCGAAGTAGCAGCTTCTTCAATCTTGAGGACATGCACCAGGAGTTACCTATTCATGCTCGACATTGTGGTACCAGATGACTGTGCCCTACGGCAATTAATATTCGCAGTAATTCACGCGAGTCATCAGTGTACGGCAATTTCCGCCAGGGGTGAGGAGCACAAGCATGATGTGGGTTTGTTGTAAGTTTGTGAGATGGAAAATGCTGCATTCTCCGGTACGTGTATCATTTTCAATTGTTCTGTGGTTGAGGTTTGAAGATGATCGAAGGGACGCCTGAACTCCTGACAATGACCTGGTATTGCTTCCCGAATTTCCCCATCCCATCCGAGATTTCCACCACTTAGCAGACCCATTGCAAGCATGTTTCCCCGGGCTTCGCGCACACGCCACACGGAGAGTTGCAGCATGTTGTTCCTGTCGGGCAAATGACTGAGCCGCACGTCTCTGCATCGGCTGGTACGGTACCGTTAGATTGGCAACCGACGGGGTGCTCCAACTTGAAATCGAAAACTTTGCAGTAGGAGTTTTCGGGGCAAGCGACGCCGGCGCAGCGATCTTGGGCGGGTTCTCCTTGCGGGGTCGGGGCCGGGGCGGCGGAGGCGGCAATGGCGAAGACGCCGACGATAAGCGAGTGAAGGAACATCATGTTGATGATTTGGGTTTGTTGGTAAAAGAATGACTGGCCGAGTTGGAATCGAGCGTTCTTGTGCTGAAGATAAATGAGTGAATGGCTTTGAGGAACACCTGGACCTGTTCAAGATCAGGCGGCAACGTCAACCTTTATGGTCCAAAAGTGAAGGATTCAACCCTCATTGTCGGCGAGCAGTAAGTTTGGCGCGATTCAGGGAACAAATATAGTTCATTGTTTGAGAGTGATTAAATGCCGGCGACAACTGGTTGTCTCCAGTTATATGAAAGGAATGGGCTAACTTTAAACAACGGCACGGGCGTTGACCAACTCACGGACAAAGCGTGCTAGCTAGTGTATAAGGTCCGAGAACAGACCCTATAGGCTAAAGGGATGGGAGTAAGCAGCACCCGGCATGTTCGGACGAGGATGATGATCGCGTCTTGGCAGTTGAGAAAAGAGATGGATTAGATTAGCTATTGAGTAATTAATAGATTCATGCCTCAGGGGCAGCTAAGTTTGACGTTTCCCCCCTCCCCATTATACGTCCTTCATTACTACGATCCTCCATTTTCCAATCTGTGGGGGGGAGCTATCCAAGCCTCCTTTTATCCCCATGTTATTAAGATATTACTAGTTCGTCACCGAGAGCTAGTGTTTTTGCGAGTGCCGGCTTGCTAGATCGGGCGCCCCGTCTCTAAAGGGACGGGATCGACAGCAGGGAATTTAGACAGCAGGGACTGTAGGAGAGACAGGCACGCAGATGGGTGCGCCATTCTTCTCCTTGCAGACGTAGTTGGGAATGCATTGGACGGTAGAGCAGCTGAGAATTCCGGTCGGGGCAGGGATCAATGAGATCAAGGTGGTGGGGTTGATAGGAAGGATCGGGAGGGCGCGAAGAGGCAGAACCTTGGCGTTGATGGGCTCGCCCTTGACGTTGACGGGAGGAATGGCGGGCAGAGTAGGGGCGGCGGGCAGGTCGACGGAGCTCGGGACGATGTCGCGGGGAATTGCAGGAATAACAGGAGCAGGCAGAACGACGGGGGCAGTGAGGGAGAAGGTGACAGGTGCGACAGTGGGAAGCGGGACTGCGATTTCGCGTTCGGCCAACTTCGCGGGAGGAGTCGTCAGAGCAGCAAACAAGGAGCCGATGACCGCGGAAGCATCGACAGGCAAATCGCGCTTTAAGTTGAGCTTGGCGAGAGGGCTAGGCAGGGTAGCGAGGATGCTGCTGATAACCGCGGAAGCATCAATGGGCAAGTCGCGCTCCGGAAGCTTGGGAATGGCGGTAGGCAGAATGGCGACCAGAGAGCTGAGAACCGAGAGGTCAATGGCGGGCAAGCTGCGCTCGAGGTTCAGCTTCACGGAAGGGGTGGGCAGAGCAGCGACCAAAGAGCTGATGATTGAGGCGTCGATAGCATGCAAGTCGCGCTCGAGGTTCAACTTTGGAATGGCGGTGGGGAGAGTGGCAAGAATGCTGCTCAGGATGGTGGCGTCAACGGTAGGCAGGTCGCGCTCCAAGTTCAACTTCGGGGTGGGCAGAGCGGCGACCAGCGAGCTGAGGATCGAGGCATCAACGGCAGGCAGGTCTCGCTCGAGGTTCAGCTTTGGGACGGCGGTGGGCAGAACAGCAAGCAGAGTGCTGAGGACCGAGAGATCGATGGTAGTCGAAAGGTCGCGCTCGAGGTTGAGCTTGGGGAGACTGGGGAGCGCAAGGGGGGGCAGTGTAACCTCGACCGGGAGACTGGTGATGGCGGGAATGTCCCGCTCAACGACAACGCCGGGGGCATTGGGAACAGCGATACCGGGAAGAGCAACCGTGTAAGGAGCGACTTTAACAGCTGGCAGGGTAGGGAGGGGAGGGTTAGCGATTGAGATATCCCGAGCGTGCCTGCGGATTGGAAGTGCGATGGAAGTTGAGGGCAGAACAGGAAGCTCAATGCTGATGGAAGGAATCGCCGGGATCTCTCGGGGAACATTGACGGCGGGGAGAACAGGGAGGCCAGTGGCCTCAACGTTGACCGATAGCGAGAGAAGAGAAGACAGGATTGGGAGGTCCCGAGGGATATTCAGATCCGGGACCTCAACGGTCACTGAGACAGTAGAAGCCGGGACAGCCACGTCAACGGAAAGAGTCGGCAAAACTGGGAGTACCGGGGGTGCAAGAGTCGGAGCCGTAAGGCCGCGGGGAATGTTCAGGTCCGGAACTTCGATGGCCAACGAGATGGTTGAAGCTGGAATGTCAACATCGACAGACAATGTCGGTAGGGCTGGTAGCGCAGGAGGTGCGAGAGTCGGAGCCGCGAGGCCGCGGGGGAGATTGAGACTCGGAAGAGAGAGGAGAGCAGTGGGAAGAGCCGGAATATCAATGTCGGGAACGCCGCGGGGAGCGTTGACAGTAGGCGGGGTCGGGAGCTCGACATTGGGAAGAGTTAAGGAGAGAGAGACTGGTTCGAGCTTGACCGCGGCAGGGCCAATGGAGTCAGCGATGCCGGCTACAGCTTCGGGCTGAGGAGCAGGCGCAGGATTGGCGGCGACACCAAAAGCCAGGGCAAAGGTGGTAAGAGTGCGAATGGAAGCCATCTTGAAATGTTTGAACTGTTGATTCAAGGAACCTTTGCTGAAGATGTGAAGATGTCGGAGTTGCTGTGGCGAGTGAAGAAGAAAAGAAGGGCCCATGATGGAAATCTTGAGTTATTTTATACTCAATATCTCAGGCTTCTCAGTCCTGCTGAATCCCACGATATTCCCAATTCAGACAACATTCTAGTGATTGATTGACGAATGCAGTCATAGCTGGAATCAATTTTGCCGTTGTCAACATCCCCAAAGACTGAAGAATCGTCTCCTCTGTTGCCAGACTCGAGCCGAGACACAACGCACCTTTGAGCCATCAGAGAGACATCTTCCCAACTGGATGGATCACAGAACATCCGGAGGAATGGCTTGAGACGGGAGAAGGTCTCGCCAGGTTGTACAAGGCCGTTACTGGTCAAGTAGGACAAGCCTAAGTCCGCCGATGTCTCAGCCCGATCAGAGACACGGCGTAAGCTCCCTTTTGCCAGCCCATCGGTAGTTCCCGTTAGCTAGCCGCAATAGCCTGCCTCAAAGGCACAAGAAATGACGGAATCGCGCAGTTTCGATCGCATGCAGCCTTGCTCAAGAATGCGGCAAATCTGATCGGGGATCGTACAACTGTCAGTATATCGCGATGGTGGCGGTAACAATACCGCTGGGCAAAGTCTATGTGTACGATGAGCGAGTTTCGAGCAAAGAATGAGCAGCACAGATAGGTATTCGTTCTGGAAACTCCTACATACTAGGATGGGATCGACATGGTGGAGGACCCAAGAGCCAAGCAGGTGGGAGGCACGCAGGCACGCAGGTTACACAATGCCGGTATGGCGATCACTCGTGCTCCCATGGCGATCACTTGCAAGGGGAGGTTATCTGATTTGCTGGACTTTCCAGCGGTAGAATCAAGTGTAAGACATTCAACTGTATTCGTCACATTCGCCGTGATCTCGAGGCTGTCCGCCCCCTCACCACAAATACCACTGACTGAGACAGAGAGGACCTAGATCAAGCCAAAGGGGGGGTTCTCCTCCGCCCATCTCCACACGTCGGGATTTCCCGCAGTCAAAGCAAGCAACTTCCGTTCCCAGTACCCCGTCAAAGGCTCCTCGGGAAGCACACCAGCCAGCGGGAAGGCGTTGGGATGTTTGCTAGCCAATACCCATTTCCATTGGCTGTCTTCCTTCTGGACCGGATAAGGCTTCAAGACATCTCCCTCTGCGTCAAGATCCAACTTCCTGGTCTTGCCGTCTTTGACGCTATCTGCCTCAGAGGCGTTAAGCCCGGAGCCGCGTTCCAGCTTCCACAGTCCACTCCCGTCATCGGCTGTGGCCAGAGCTTTGCAGTCCCAGACCCCATCATCGTCCATAGCAAGGCCTTGGCAAGCCAGTCTGACCCGCACGCTACTGTGAATTCTCTCGTTGGTGTTGAGCAAAGGCTGGTCCGTGTCTTGGTTCGTTTCCGGGTCCGTACGCATAAAGGTCCCAGGGTGACGGATTGTGGTTCCTGACCAGGTCTGGAGGCGGCTCGTAGGATATCGGATTTGGCCTAGTCCCCACGGACGAGCGGTTTTCCAGAGCTCTTCTGCACCACCGGCGGGATGACGATCTTTTCCATCACATTCAGCCTCATCCCGATGGATGCTTGATGCCTTTACCGGACATATCTTGGGATTCGCCCACGGCAGTTGTTGCCTCGGCCGGAGCCATGATGACCAGGAGCTGGGCACATACGAGAATGGGTGTCCAGCTGAGAACCGAAGTCCCTCAGTGAAAATGTCTGACATACGACCAGGGTTAAACTCCACACCAACGCTTGATAGTTGATCACACATCCCTTGTTTTTTCTGTCAGTTTCTATCGAAAAGCACACACCATGGCATGGGCTACATACAAGCTAGAGTGATGCTGGCAATTTGTTGCTCATGCCATCCCCCGCCGACACCGGCATGGTTACCAGGAAACCAAACCTGTCGGAGATTGGTCTTATTGCCCTCAAGCTTTTCCCAGAGTGCAGGGCGGAATGCAAACCGGGGTTCGTCTAGAGACAGAGCATGGAAGGCGTTTTCTACGCGGTCGGATACCTGAGTGTTGCTGAACTTCCATGTAGAACTTCTATGTTAGCGGTATTCAATTTCGGAATGCTCACAGTAAAGAAAAACTTATTGATTTGATGTCCCCTGGAGGCCAACGACCGGGGCCGGGGGAATGCCCAAGGCGCCGACGGTATCCCATACGCCAACCGCCTTGATGTTGATCTCGTGCACGCCATTTGCATCTTCATACGTGTGCCTTGTGAGGCCATTCTGAATCCTATCAGTATCACATCTTGAGGAGAGGCACTTCAGCAGCAGGACATACCTTGGAAAGCCATCTCTCATACTGTGATTTCCGATCCATCTCCCAGTTAGCCCGGGCTGCTCCTTTCTCACCGTTATAGGGAAGTACTTTCGGGTCCAAGAATAAACTCGGATCACGATCAGAGTCGCCCATGTTCTCATAATCTTCAAAGATGGCGTAGAAATGATCCAAGCCCGAAGGAGTTAGCAAGCCGACCGTCGCAATCATATCGGCGACAGAGCGCGCCGTGAAGGCGCCGCGGGAGAAGCCTATAAGGATGATGTCGTCTCCATCGACGTAATTGGTACATATAAAATTGTAGACCTCGCGAATGGCCTACGTAAAGCATTAGCTCCCTATCAAAGGAGAATGACAAGTCGCAATGGGCTTTACCTGGTCAAGTCCAACCCCAAATAGTCCACCTGTGAACTTGTCGACTACGCTGTCTGAGCTGCCAACGCCAGGATGATACATGACAATTTGGTGGGTGCCATCTTGACAGGTTCGCCGAAGGATCCGAGATATTCTTGTCACGTTAGATTGCGGCTCAGCGCTTTGCGTGCCGGTTAGCTGACGATGAAGCTGTCGCGGGTGACAAAGGTCAGTTTACCCCTTGCTGCCTAACGAGTCCATCCACGTTCCATCGCAACACACAATCAAGCGCTTGTGAGCGCCACGAGGAGTAGAAGCCATGTTTCTAGGTACAGGTGGGCATTGATTTTCGAAGATGAGCGTTAGTTGTCTTTTCGAGATGAATGGAGATCCAAAGCGTTCAAATAGCGCGGGGTTTGTGCACGGCTCCCAACCTCAAGGTGGCATGCAAGGGGGTTCAGCTTGGCCTTCATATCGGGTCTTACCTTAGTGTGAGTTGGTGGCTGTCTCATTGCATACAGCCGCAGCTGAAACTTTGGAGTAACTAGCCGGAGCTCCAATAACACCTGCGATGTCACTGATCGCTCTTGAGGCAGAGACATATCAATCGTGCTTCGTTGAACAATGTTTAAAAATGCTATTCGGTACAAAAAGATCGAGCCGAGAGAGCGATATGCATTAAGGTGTCACCGATGTTCACCTGTCGTAAAGGTAGATCATTTACCTTTTCAATTTCGCCACAGAAATGCTGTACAACGAAAGGCCGCCCTTGCTGAAAAGGTCATCGTCACTAATAATCATCATGACTGGGATTTTTTCAAACGCCCTAGAGATAGTCGCTCATTCGGTGGTCTGCAACCTCGAATAGGCTTTCATGTGAATGATTTAGGCTGCGAGACCAAAGTTGACTGGTCGGCACGCAAATCATCTTCCAAGATTTTCGCATAGTTTGATGGCTCAAAACTCTCTAGGTAGACCTGCCAAGGGAAGGCCAACAAGGTAGAGCCGTTGTTTTAGCCACTTCTGACATGCATCGACCGATGTTCTAGACCGACGGCTCTGGTACCAACCTCCCATTTGGTAATTACCATGGCAGGTGCTCACGCGGCTAGTCGCAAAAGTCACCCAGCTTGGCCACCCATGCATCTTGTCAATGCAGGCGTGATGAGAAATGTTGAATGAGTACAGGAAGGCGTTCCTGTACTCATAGTTTGAGGATGCCATCCAGACTAGAATCAGTGACTCTAATGCATAGAGAGGTCTACGTGACACTAGTCTACCTGTTTTAGTACAAGAGAAGATCTGTGATTAAACCCCAGTTCTTGGTACTCCTGATGCGAACAGCACAGAAACATTTGCGCGTTCCGGATCAACGCTATATTATGTCGTCAAACTTGCAAGTAAGTATCAAGTACCTTGAGAAAGCGACAAAGAACACGTAGAGTACATGCCAATAAGAGAAGACTTAGACAAATCGGAATACAAAATCTTTCTTTCAGTTTAGCACATCGAAACTCATTCTAATCTTGCCTACGGCGCTCAATCATCTTTAGTCTTTTTATATACGACAAATCCTGTACAACTAGCCATCCCCAACTATTTTGAAACCAAATTGCGTCAAGAAAAACATGTGACAAGTAGCCAACCACATATGCGAAACCATTCTTAGGTACTAGCCCTTGGTAGAGGGAAGTGCATCAAAATACGACCCCTCCCTCAGTTTATGCAGCAATCGGTGTCATTAAGACAAAGAGTTCGTCTTCTAGAGATCCTGGTGTGTGGCGACCGTAGGTCTCAGGGCGGGCGATTTGGACACTGAAGTTCGAGAACAGACCGGCCAAAATGTATCCGAACACTGAGGTCGAGTTAGCATCTTCCTGGGAATCATCGATACCTATCGCAGAGCGAGGATGCATATATGTTTGCCACATGGAGAGATGACTTACGATAGTACGTCAGTTGTGTTCCTATACAAGCCCTCGGACCGGTGACGAAGGCCCAGAGAGGAGGCATATCGGTCCTTTCTGCGCCATTCGGGTCCAGCCAGCGTTCAGGAACCCAGGCGTTTGGCTGTGTCCACATTTCAGGGTTCCGGTGCAAAAACCATTGGAAGCAGTTGACCCGAGTGCCCGCTGGAATACCGTCGACTCCCGAGATGCTCACAGATTTATCGTGAGGTGTGATGCGTGGTAGCGGGGTGCTGTTGGGTCTCATGCGCAGAGACTCCTTGATGACAGCCTGCAGATATGCGATCGACTCAATTGTTTGAGGCGAAGGCAGACTATTAGCGTCACTGTGACCGACTTGATTCACGTGCATTCCGAGTCCCGCAACCGCATGCTTCAACATTTCTTGCTGAGCTGGATTCTGAGCAAGATAGTAAACCGCGTAGGCAAGAACGAGGCCTGATTAGTCAAATTAGCAGGTAAAAGTAGCTTGAGTGAAATTCCAGAAACTTACCAAAAACCTCGCGAGCGCCGGCTACAATAGACAGAGATTCGTTAGTGACAGATCATTGAAGGAGTTCGGTTACCTTACACATGTGATCAAAAATTTCACTGGCGATAGAGATTCTAGACAACTCTTCCGACGCCTGCATATCGAGGAATTTGCCGTCTTTCAAGTTAGACATAGCCTTTCGTAGTTGATTGTACACAACTGGGATGTCTTCCGCAGGAGGCTGCTCGCCGTTCTGCATGCGTCGATACATTGCCTCAGACTTGTCGCAATGCTCCAACATCCAGTTCTCGATCCATTCGGTCGACTCATAGTGCTTACGAGGCATCACATCGAGTCCGATCTTACGAAGCCCGTGATAGAGTTTGGGGAGTTCCTGAAGCCAGAAGCCCTGAGGACTGTATCTGTTCTCGTAGTGCTCCAGCCACATCTCTGTCAACTCAGGGTTTCGAGTAAAGTCGGGTCCGCTGGAAAGACCCAAAATGTAACAGTTGAGCATGTCCAACCCTGAGGCATAACAGAGTCTCAGAAGCTCTACCGGTTGTCCGTGTGCAGAGTGATGTTGGAGGACTGGGATGAGACGTTGGTACATGATGCTGTGAGTTACTTTGCTCAGGGTCTCGGAGGCAAAGAGTGTCGTCTTGGAGTAAGACGAGGAGACCCGTCGGCGGCATGCGGCATGGTCTGCTCGGCTCCGGCTGGCAAAAGAGTTCCGCTGTCTAAAACACAAGTAGGTTAGTAAGTGAAACTGCCACAACTTGGGGGTATCAGAACTCTGAGAGTGGAATTGAGCAATCGTCGGAATTGATGCTAACACTTACCCATAGTATTGGAAGAAATCGAAGTATCCCGGTTTTTCGAACCCGGCGTTGTAGACTTGACGAACACCAGTCTCATAGTCGCTAATGCTGATCTCTTGCGGCGCGACTCGTACAATCTTGCCCAGTCTTTTATGAGCTGCGAGAACAGCTTTCAATTCCTTCCCATGGTAGCGCTGCCAAAGAATCCAAATGGGACTGAAAGAGCAAGTCCAGTGAGCGGAGGGGACTTTCGAAAGACCTCCTGTGAAAGTTCGGTACACAAGTTGGAACAAGAAGACTCCAAGAAGCAACAGGATAGCCACGAATGGCAGCGCCGAGTCGAGTATCAGGAAAGGCATGTCGGCGGTCTTGGGTGGTATCGGTGTCTTGACCCAGTCTTCGATGACCTCTGACTGACTTCTTGACATGATAGTCCTGTTTATTTAGGCACATGTTGACATATTCTGAAAATCATCATTCTCTTCCGCTGACTGTGCATCAGCGTCGACCTGGAGGTCTCCGAAAGCTATTGCGTGAGAATGCAAAACTTCAAGCCACAATCAGTTCCTCACATCAACACGTTGTCTACTTCTCGTGTCATTCCCAAAATTCGGGATGACATGCATGCACAGACAAAACTCAAAAGCGTTGGCAGATCCACCGGGGGTGCCCCCTCCTTGGGTCTTCTCAACATGCCAGGATCAGGATCCATTATACATATGCAATGTCAGCTACGACGTGTATTCGTAGGAAGTCTGGAACCTGACGCCGACATGGATAGCCTACGTTGCATTCAATGGTGTAAGGAGAGTGCCAAGTCGTAAGAGAGAGCGAAGGTAACTGAAGAAAGATTCATTCTAAATTCGGTGGCGGTATTCTTAGTGAGCAACAGTAACGCCTCTCATGAATAAGCGGACTACGGTGTGTTCTTGAAAGCGACGTTCTTGGGGTAGATTACTTGTCTCGCTGGCAAACTCGGGTGAGTCAGGTCTAATTCTCTCAGTGAAGCGGCGTTGAGCATTGTGGCCAGTCTATTTACGTGGTAAGGAGCTGTGTTCCTTGGGTGGCATAGACGAGCAGCGGATAAAAGTGTCGTGGAAAAGGCGAAAAGACAGCAGACAGCCTTGCAAACATGAGTACATGTACATAGAGATGTTGGTTATCTGATAAATGTGAATAATCGAGTCCTGCCATAACTTCTTGGGTTCATCACTCATCTTGCGTACCTAGCGTAGTCTGCATATCGCATGGGCTCGTGGTTCTGCCCATCAATCAGCCCCATCCCATAGCTATCCGGTTCTGCATCAGGTACCTCTCCATATGTCTTCATCTTTTTCCGGTCGTTCTTGATTCGATTCTTCTCCTCCTTGGCTGCCTTGCGCTCCACCTTAGCTGCCTTTCTTACCGCCTTTTTCTCCTTCTTCTCCTTACGCTTCTGTCGGCATCCTTTCCTGGGGAACTCGCTATTCGTACCCTGAAGGACTCGACCAGGATGTATGATGGCGAGAATAAGCAATGCCAACATCATGGGGAAGGCGTCTAGGGCATATGCGTATGCTTCTGTGAAAGGTATTGGGTTCTCTTCAGGAGTCATGCCTCCGGTAAACTCGACGAGACGGAAGATGATCCGGGCCTTGGCGTGCCAATAGCTGTCAGTCAAACTGCGTTCAAAGGCATCGTAGAGGGCAGGATGAGGGTAGGACTAACCGTGATTGCAAGCAAAGCTGCATAAAGTGCAAACTGAAGGGCTTTCCAGTTCCGTCGTGGCATGTAGCCTTCTTCATCCTCGCGGTCGTACGACCCGCCTTCCAGTCCGTACATATCTTCCCTGTTCATTTGTAGAGCACGATAATGGAAGCGAGCCATCAACATCAAGAAAACCACAATGAAGCCCTCTTGAACACCCATGCCGATGATGTAGATCTTGACCCCCTTTGCCCTTGTATTAGGCTCTACTGTTGGGCCAGCCATGACACCTCCCGTGGCCTGCACAATGAATGTGGCGATGTCGGCAACGACGAAGATGCGCCCGAGCCATCTTGCTGGAATGTAGCAAACTCGAGGCTCCCCGCCTGGTCGGAAGAAGTAAACCATTCGCGCAAATGTCATGTAAACAAAGGCGTTGAGCCATACAGGAGCCAACAGGAATAACACCTGATGGCCTGTGGCGTACCCCTGGGCTTGTTGATCTTGCGAGCCATATGCGTGAAGAATGAATGCGCCCATTTCCCAGCTTGCCGCCATAAGAACTGTCCATGTGAAAGGCTGTCCGGCGATTGATGTCAGTACTTATACTCTTCACTAACTTATTCCGATGGATGGCATTGCTCTTGGTGGAAACAGAGGAAGATTTCAAGTGGAGTCTCGGATGTATCATCATACCTTTCGGTACCATATCGCTTCGATAAGATGAACTAAAGTCAGAACACCAAATATCGAAGCTGTTGCAATCGCAGGTGTCAATTCGGGATGGAAGTTGTAATTTGAATTGCAGGCGTCCCAAGGAACCGCTCCATTCGGTCCCGGCACCGCACTCGTGCAGTCTGTTCTCGGAGGATCATCATCGCCATCGTCCCGAATCATCAGCGTTGGTGTTGGGAACATTACGCTTGCTTCGGTAGTGCCAAAGGAAAATAAGAAGAGAAAGATGAGGATGAACAAATACTAGTCTTTACAGCGAGCAAACATAGGAGGACGTCTGATCTGGTGATCGTTGTGTCTAGAAACTGTGGATCGGCTGTTTTTCCACTAGATATTATTGACGACTTTGTTAAACCAATCCTTCAAGTTGGCTTCGATATCCAACTTAAAGATGCTGGGCACTGAAAGACTATCTCAAAGCGGCATTGACTACGTTCCGAGAGTTTAGGGTGCCAAGGCTGGTGCCTAGAGGGAAAGCAAGTTGGTCGACCTCTGTGTCTCGCAAATGACGCGTCCTCCCTACAGCACCGCCGGCGACTCGGCATGATCGACCCTCCATTGATCCTCCGGGGTCACTTCTAAGCGGGTCTAGTTGTAACAGACCACTATCCAACCAACACGAGAAACGTGTGCAACAGGGGTAAGGGGTCTGAAATGTGACGACGGTTAGCGACTTTTTGAGCTTTTGTGGTGACAATGCTTCTTTTTACAGATGAAGCTTTGACGAGCCATTGGTTCAAGTTGGTTCTTACAAGAAACCGGACTTTGGCTGGGCGGTTACTCCGTCTCTTGATAACGCCAACCTGTGTTTGTTGACCTAAAAAAGCCTTTCTCCGATTCTGTGTACCAACCGTGGAATCATCCTCTAAGACCCGATCATCGAACTCAGCTCCTGACAATACAAAAGAGACTCAGTGTTCCCTTACGTGCTTTTAAAGATAGAGCCAAAAGTGTCAGATCTTTCAGATGGTGTATTTCAGATAATATCAATATTGCAATATAACCGCCGGGGAGAATATTTCTACCCTGCCATGCCTTCGCCTCTTTCTGTAAAGTAGTCTATGAATCCTGTATTGCAATACTCGCATCCATGTCTAAGAGTTCTTGGCGCTAGCCATACCCATTGGCTTACAACTAATGTGCCTCTCCCCCCTCTCAAGGAAGTTGAGAAATGATTTTGACCACCGCATCGCCGAATTGGCTTGTTGTCGCCGTTCCCCCCAAGTCCGAAGTCCGGATACCAGACTCAATCGCATCGCTAACAGCCTTGCAGATAAGATCAGATGCTTCGGGCATGTTGAGAGAGTAACGGAACATCATGGCAACAGAAAGGATCATGCCAACAGGATTGACCAACTGCTTCCCGGCGATGTCTGGCGCGGATCCATGAACTGGCTCATACAAGCCTTTGATCATGCTGCTGCCGGATTGCGGTGGGATACCTCGCAAACTAGCGCTGGGGAGAAGACCAATGCTGCCAGCAATGGCGCTTCCTTGATCACTAATGATGTCACCAAATAGATTGCTCGTCAACACGATGCCGTTGAGCTTGGTCGGGTTGCAGGCCAGAGTCATGGCGGCACTGTCCACAAGCTGGTGCTCGAAACGGACATCGGGGAACTCTTTGCTCAAGATTTCGGTGACGACGCGACGCCAGAAGCTGCCGCAAGCTGCGAGCACATTTGCTTTGTCAAGGCTGATGACGGGCTTAGGCGGTGTTGTTAACCTAGCCAGGTTGCCAGCCAACCGCGCCGCTCTTGCAACCTCTTCATAGGTGTACTGGTCCGTATCTTTGGCAATGAGATCGCCGCGCTCTCGGTGCCCAAAATAAATACCACCAGTAAGCTCGCGAACGATGAGAATGTCAGTGCCTCTGCAAATTTCAGCTTTCATTGGCGACGTGTCAACTAGGGACGGGGCGGGGAAATTGATCGGACGCAGGTTGCCGAATGCATCTAGTTCGCGGCGCAGAGTTCCGAGACTCGCGGCTTCAACGGATGGAACTTGTCCAGCCCATTTCTTTGGAGCTCTGGTGGTCAGCAAGGCGGTTTGTCGAAGGCGGTACCGGCATGGGTGTCTTACAGGGCCACCGACTGCGCCTAGAAGGATTGCATCGGCCTCCTTTGCATCTTGAAGAGCTTCGGGAAGGATCGGCTTTCCGTGGAGATCAAATGATGCCTGTAACAAAAAGGGTTAGAAAGCGTAACAATACGCGGTTTGGCAGAAACTTCGATGTCGACATACTCCGCCTATGGGGTGATGCGTTAGGTTGAACCTGATTTCGGGGTGGCGGAGGGCGACTTCATGAAGGACCTTGAGCCCCTCAGACATGACCTGCATTTATGATTAATGACTGGACTCATCCGCCTCAAAGGGTGTGTGGGTGAACTGGGGAAGTTGAGCATACCTCTGGCCCAGCGTAATCTCCACCAAAAACAACGATCTTGAACGTAGCAGACATTTTGACAAATTAAAATTCTCGGTGGTTTGGCTGAGAAGTTAGATGGAAAAGCGATTGAACAGAATTGCACAGAATTGCTGAGTCTTCGTAAATGAGATCTAGATCGAGTTTTTCTTCTTCAAGTATACACATGGCTCCCAATTGAATTTGTCCATTCTCATGCTTGGTTTTGCAATTGTTTCCTTCGAGCCGAGCTCGGCCAGACAAAACTTGAGGGTTCATGATGTTGACGCTGCTTGCCTGCCGGACAATGCATTGGAAGTAAGCAGTTCCAGTGACAGAGAGAGAAGACTGTGCATTCAGGCTGAGGATGTGACGGGAATGCGAATCTATCCGAAGATCAGGGGCTCACCCGCCCTGCGAGTATGATGATTTTGCTGACCTTGCATATGGCCCTGGTCCCGGCTAGTCGACCGTCTTACGATTCCAACGAAGAAACAAGGGTCCATTAGTCTTTTGGCCCTGGCGCCCCAACAGAACCCCCTTCGATTCAGTCAATCGGAACTCGGCGGCAAGACAATACTGATTATAGGCATCCTCCGTGTGACCGTGTCACAAAACCCCCGAGAAAGTTTAAATCCCCAGGCCCACACGGCCGTCCCCAACGGAACCATGGAGCAGCGCGTACAGCCAAGGGACTTTGCATACGGCACAGCCAGTTTAGATTGGAGACGGGCTCAATGAGATACTATGGCTAGAGTACTGCTACTACAGATAGTGCCGTTCCCGATACGTCGGACAACGCGTTGTAAGACTTCCACAGCTGTATGGTCAAGCGGCAAATGCTCAAGCTAGAGATTATGATCAGACGCTGACAGTCAGCTGTTGAAGATAACCAATTTGAGAGTGCGGATTAACGTAATTAGCGTCTCGTTCCCGGAACCAAGCATTGCAGTACAATAGAGCCGTATTCGAGCTTGATTCAAATGGGGGCTATCGTCACTTTGGTTAACTCCCATTGTTGAATTAAGCTGTCATTCTATCACTACAATTTTTCTGTAGTGACTTGTTCTACCGGCTGTCGGCACCACAATTCTCTTTTTTCTTGCGAAGCATCTGCTACCATGGGTTCTATTCCCGCATACTCTTCAGCGCCTGGCGAGAGCGAGAGCGAGATCCTCTTCGGAGTTCGCCAGCCGAAGACGGACGTAGAATGGAGCAAGATCGGCTTTACGCCTTTTCAAGGTCAGTCCATTTGTGAATGGGGTCACTATGGTCTGATGTCAGCCAACATGGTGCAACCGATGACACCCGTTAAACGAGCTTTTGGGTTGGATGGGTGGTAATAACAGTGCTTAGTAAACGGCCACATCGAATGCACATTTACAGTCAAGTCCGGCACTTGGAGCCAACCGCGCTGGGTACAGGAGCCTTACATAAAAGTTCACGGCCTGTCCCCAGCGCTTAATTACGGGCAGCAAGCCTTTGAGGGGCTACGCGTCTTTCGCAGCGAGTCAGGTAGCGTCCAGCTTTTCCGGCTAGCGAGCCATGCGGCCCGGTTCGCGCGGTCTGCCGCTGCCGTTGACATTCCGGCCGTCCCGGCCGACTTGTTTGCCAAATCGGTGCGGTTGGCCGTTCAACTCAACAGCGATTTTGTACCTCCGTTCGAGGGTGGGTGCTCCATGTATGTGCGTCCAGTCGTCTTTGCAAGCAGCCCGACTATGAACATGTACACGGCGGAGGAGTACACGTTCGCCGTCTTGGTCACGCCGGTCGGGCTGTTGTATGGGGCAACGGGCCTCAAAGCGTTAGTTGTGGAGGGATTCGACCGTACGGCGCCGAAAGGCACCGGCGCCTTCAAAGTCGGTGGGAATTACGGGCCCACCATTCCGATAATGGGACGGGCACGAAAGCAAGGTTACGGCTTGACGCTCCACCTAGACGCCGAGACGCAGTCCTTCATCCACGAGTTCTCTGCTAGCGGCTTTATTGGAATCAAGGCAGAATCTGCGGAGACTGGAGCTCCGCCTACGATGGTCATTCCCAAAGACGAGCATATCCTCCCAAGTATCACAGTTGACAGCGTGGGACAAATTGCCCAGGAACTTGGATGGAAGGTTGAGAAGCGTCCCGTAAGTTTTGAGTTCCTCGTTTGATCCACCACCATGAGCCAACTGCTCCCTCAACGTTCCATTCCTCTCTTCAACGTTCCATGTGGGGGAGGACCGAGATCTCGGCGGAAGTCTTTGAGTTTTATGGGAGATTACCGCTAATAATGTCCCGGCGCCATGGCTTTAGATCCCGTTCACTGATCTTGGCGACTTTTCTGAGGTCTACACCGTCGGCACCGCATCATCGCTGGTGCCCGTAAGCGCCATTGAGCGCGAGTCGACTGGCGAGCGGTTCGCGTTTACCGTCGATGCGCAGTCTCCGCAATCCGCTTATGCCAGGTTGACAGACAGGTTGCAAGGAATCAAGCGGGGACTGTATAAAGAGCCGTGGGGTTGGGTGGAAGAACTCGATGGCGTAGCTTTGCGCAATGACATTGAGCGGATCACCAACACTGGGTCAGTGAAGTCTCCGGAGTAACTCTCGGTACCGAGGTCTTGAGACGGTGAACGACTCACGTTTTTTGTTTTTGAATTTGTAGGTATCATACAAAGCGGATAGACTCCAACTGTGGCCAGTGGGCGGAGATGGATAGAGTTGCGCATTGCTCAAGATAGATTGCTTTCCCAAGCCCATCAGTGTTATTCCGCTCAAATACGCAGTACGAATACGT